AGTCGGTTCTCCATAGACCGGCCTCTGGGAGCGGGGACGGTCCCCAATCTCTCTCTCTCTCACGTCTGAGCTCGGAGCGGGCTGCGTAACATTAGCTTCCGTCGTCAGAGGTCCCAGACGACTCGCTAGTGGTTGAGGCATACGAGACCTCACCATACCAGCAGGGCTACCTCGTGCCATAGGATTGACCATTGTCTGCAACTCGGCCTCCATCTCCTCTATCTTCGTCTGGAAAGCATCACAGATCCATTGTCTTCCCCCCTGCTGGGTATTGAAATGTATCCTCGTTAAGGCACTGTGGTCTACCATTCGCACTGCACTGTCGGTGTCCATCAACCTGAGCTCGTTCGATTTTTCGGCAATCAAATTCCTGACCATCGTATTCCATCGGGTCACGTTCCGGTTCATGAATGCGGCTATCGGTGAGCCGGCGTCCGCGTTTAGAGGGATGGTACACAAGGCCGCGAGCCTTGGTCTATAATTCTCTTTCAGTTCATTGAGAAGACAGACCAGCAGTGGTTCCCATTTCGCCTCGGGGGCGACTGGAATTCTGGACACGTCATTCGTTCCTATCAACAGGATCAGTGTATCGACCCAATCATCGTTTTGTAGCTCCATCATCTTGACCACTCGGGCCACCGATGCTCCGCCAAAGGAGGTTGCAGTGGTTTGGCCTACTACATGGATCTCTGTCAACTTCCTCACTAGACTGTCTCCGATAATCAGATATTGGCTGCCCGTTGGCACCATTTGGTGGATCGTTGCCGGATTCCAGCTCATGTGATTCAAACAGGCCCTTGGATGTTCTGCAGCAACCTGATGAAGGTTCTCCGGGTGTTGGGATCCTTTCGGATGTCGATCACTCGCAATCTCACCTTGATTTCGCTCGGTGCCGGACCGGCCGGTTCTGTGGGATCTGTCATACTCTCTCTCCCGACGGCTGAAGGACCTGCGCGTAGGGAAGGAACGATCCTACCCGAGCTTCTGTCCCGCGCTCAGTTTATTTCTTGCATGGTCGCTTTGGCCACCTGCTCGAATGTCTCCTGAAACTGAGGCGCCAGGTAAGTATCCGAGGGGTCAGGTATCGTGCACCTCGCGTTGGCAGGCGAGCTCACTCGCTGTGGAGCTGCCACCTCATTTGATCGGTAAAGTTCCTGAGGCTTAGCCTTAGTAGTCGTGTCGGGGTTCATCATGGCTAGAACATCTGGCGACAACTTTCTCATTCTCGCATTATAGACCTACTTCAGGTGCCATATCTCCTCTTCTTTGAGAGAGATCAGTAGCTAGTCAAACTTCCTCTTCCACTCCTTACGTTCTTTCACCGTCTCCTTGTACTCGTCGAGCTTTGAGCACAACTCCTGCCAGTCCTCGTCTCTCTTCTCGAGAGTTTCGCTGGTTTCAGTCGACTGTTGCTCAATTTCGCTCATTTTCATCTTCTTGGATGGTGGAGCTGCACTTGACGAATCTGCAGAGTACGACGGGTACGGCCCATCGCGTGATCTCTTCGATCTGAAGAGAGTCTGTGCTGAGGAGTTAGGGCGCACTGGCATTGGCATCTCTCCTAGCCTGTAATCTCTTTGTTTTCCCAATCCTGGCTCACGAGCCAAGTCGTGAGCAGATATTTCTCCACGTCGCCATCGCATGAGCCTATTTCTGCTTCTCTTGGCGGTACCGGACTCCACGAAAGCTAGCATCAACACCACTTCTGTAGGTCGGTCCCCACAGCCTTCTCGTTCCATTGCAGTAAGGAGCGCGACGGTCAACATCACCAGCTCCGGGTCTTCCATTCCAAAGTTGCAATCTATCAACCGCTGATATATCTCATCCAGAGCCGTTCCTAGACTCGCTTAGATGAAGTCCGTCAGATCGTTTGTGTTGCTCATTCTCTTTCGTTTAGGTCTTGTATCTTCAATTTCAATTTGAATTTCAATAAACAAGTGTCCGATCAATCACGATCTAAAAGACAAGTCACATTTAGAACCATTATAGAAGCTATCTTATCTTCACGTTAAGACATCATCCATATCTTTTAAAACAGTCAATCAAAATTCTCTTCTTTTTTATTTTAAAAATTAGCACCGAGGTGCATCATTCACTTCCGATTCAGATGCTGTCACCTTCCGCACCTGGAATAATCATCACATAATCATAATCACAGAATAATACAAAACATCAATGTCACACATCAAAATTAGTATACAAAAATCTAATACTCAATACCTATTCTTAAACCTAATTCCTGATATTTAAAAGGTAAACCTAGTAGAAAATTCTTAATCCTAAAAAAATCTCAGCCCTAATCATAGCTCTAGCATATGCTCAGATAATACTTCTTATGTAAGTAGATTTCTATGTTTGTTTTTGAGAAAATCACAAGCACTAGAGCATATAGCTCTCCGGGATGCAACTTTCCCCTATTGGGACCATAGACTGGCAAGGATAGCGAGGTCACTCCCTCTCTCAATCAGGAAATCCCTGCGTCGAGTTTGTGTCAGCACTAAACTCTTGGGTTTCACGTGTTGTCCATCAGTGACCTTGGTTACCAAAAAACACAAGTATTTTCCCGTTATTTGTGATGCAACAGGGGGCAGCGCTATCATAACTCCTACACCAGGCCTCTGTTTTCACAGAAGTTCGATGCTCTTGTACTCTTCTTTGAAGTCGGCTGCTAGTGCTGTTTTCAACTCACATCCGCAGTTGACGAATAAGCGCACTTGCGTTCCGTGAGTATAAAATCCTTGTCGGTCACAACAATGTTATTCAAGTATTTATTCGCTAGATCAAAATACGACTCGAAAAACTGTCCAAAAGGCAATGTTTTACGGTTTTTGCCCTCCGTTTACAGTTCTCCTGTCTCTCTCGCCAATTTTAAATTTTTTATCATAAGATTTTTGTTGTGGGTGGGTGAGTCCTACCCCCACTCCACGTACAAAAATATACATCGATCGAGCACATCGAGGTTACATTCGGGAACACATAAGAGGCCATCTGGAGCGATCCAGTTTTACTCGTTGTTGTCGTGACTGATGTATTTGATGCATGTATTAATTGTCAGGATTGCTTTTTTCGATCTCCAGGTAGATCATGGAGCCATTCGAGTACCCGAAAGTTTGTGAACTCATGCTCATGCATTGGTTCCGCTCCAGGTTCAAACTCCATATCCGGTTCCGATCGATCGCCGATCCAATCTTTTTCTGTATCATCAATCAGGTCGATGGTCGATGTCCTGTGATACCACTATTTCATCCAAACCCACTATTGGGTCTGATACTTCTTCCAACACAATTCTGTCTACGACAAAATCTTCACCATACGGGTTGTATTTAGTCTTGTCCATTTCCATCTTGCTTTGTCGCATCTCCATGGTCAAGGGATAGTCAGGTTCTACTCCTTTGTCATTTTCGGTCTGCTCTGGGCAGTTCCAGTGCGCTTCGACTAATGGTAGAGTTTCGTCATCGACCTCTATTCGCTCAGCTAGTTCCAAGTCCAGTGGCAGATCACAGTCATCCATCACCTCATTTCCGATATTCTTGTCACGTGTGCCTCTCTCATTCACTTCACAGGTGGGATCCACTTTCAAGTAGCCATGTTGTTCACTTCTGTATCCGGTTATACACTTTGTCCACGCCTTGATGGCCCATCTGGTCCTGTGAGTGAAACAATAACTCAGTTTGATACAGCTGTGGTAGTTCTATCGATTTGTATTTGTTAAGGACTTTGTTTTCTTCTTTGCCCTTGAAGACCATAATCCCGCTTTGTTCAAGTATAGCAAATCCTTTCTCTTCATCTAAAACAGCTTCAAAATCTTATAGTTGTTTTCTTCCAAGTAACCTTTGTCGGGTGCTCCGTTTTCTATCCATCTCTTTAAGTTGCTCGTCATCCTATCATTTCCTATTAGTCCTCAAAAGATCTGACAGTCGGTACCTGGCTTACAAATATGTCATTTTCAAGTTTAACTGACCACTAGTTTTTTCCGGAGCTTGGGCATCGTCCATCAATTTAACACACTATATCCTTTTCAAAGGTGTCGCCGATTGTTCCAAAGGCCGCAAATTGGTACGGACGACCGTAGCATTCGGTAATCATTTAGCCGGGCGTTTCGACACCGCCATCAACTCAAGTGCAGCATTGTCAACTAAAGTGCCTTCCTCATCAGAGATATATCTGTCCCTGTCTGGGTCTTAATGCATCTTTCTATCCAACCCGCGCCGTTTCCAATCTAGCAAGGAATAAATCGCAATCTCTGACACGTCTGAATTGAAAGTGGTCTCAGACACGTTCTCCCAGGACTGAGATTTCGAGCCGTCACTCGAGCTGATGGAGTCTATCCACTCGCCTTCTAACATGTTCTTCATGTTTCTCGACTCCCCCGGCAGATTCTGTCCCTCGATTGTCCTGACATCGACTCGCCGGACAAATCATCCTGGCCGGGCCCGAAGGAACACAACTCTCCAGACAATTCCGCACCTCGTCCACTTTCCTTATTTGACTCCCCGGACAGTGTCTCATCTCCGGATGATATCTCATCTCCCGATGAACAGTCCGAGCACGGCTCGTACTCTTTTATTACATCATTGAACTGAACCCTCCTTGCTATACTGGATTTCAGTTCAACACTTTGAATGGCAGCTTACCATATGTGTCTTTGTCCAGAAAGGAAAAACAACCCTTAATCTCTGCCTGGTTAGCTTGCTTCTTTTTCAAGTGCTCATAGAACTCCGTTTCCTTGCAGAGGCTGTCGGCATTTTTTTTTGTTTGTCACGTGTTCGGTGCTCTATAATCATATGATAGCCATCCAGGCGTACAGTCCAGTGACCGATAAAGCTCTGGTTCATCGAAGAAAATTTATGCCAGGCGAAAGTTCGATTGTCAACACGCAACTTAAAGGAAAATAAATAAAATTAGTAAAAGTAATTACTGCGATCATCTCCGCTTTCGGTTCACCATATTTCATTTCGGTATCCCCTAAGAATTTGCTGCCATATGCTATGGGTTGTTCTTCATAGAGTATGGCCGGGATAGCGACTACTGATTCCTTTCTCGGTCGGCATGCCGATGACCGGAGACTCGTAAAGTTCCCGTTTGATGTTCTCGAAAGAGACTTGAACCTCCTCAGTCCAGCTGAATTTCTTGCCCTTATTTTGCATCAACCGCTGCATGGGGTTTATATTGTCGGCATAGCCTTTGATAAATTCTCGGTAGTAATTAGCGAAGACGAGAAAGCTCATCAATTGTGTGTCGGTTTTCGGTGGCTTCAGTGTTGGCACTGCTTCAACCACTTCAGGATCTGGTCTGACTCCGTGCTTGTCTACAAGGCGACCCAGATACTTTATTGAGTCCCTCGGAATCTCACACTTGGAGTGTTTACATTTCAGCCCGGCCTGTTTCATGCAAGTAAAGACTACGTCCAGTCTCTTTAGGTGTTCCTCCAGGGTTGGTGGCGGTCATAACGTCATCAATGTATTACAAAATCTGGTTCCCATACTTCTTTGTTACATTCGTGAGTGCCTGGGTCATCAATCTTAGAAATATAGCCGTCGCGTTGCATAGTCCAAACGGCATTCTTTTCCACTTGAACAGTCCCAGTTCACATTTCACGCTCGTTTTCTGAGGGGCACTTACTAAAATGCAGAACCCAAATGCATCGTTGTGAAGAATTTTTGCGTCCACCAACTTCGAGAGTCTTTCTTCGATGCGGGGGATCGGATATGCATCTTTTATCGTTACTGCGTTCAAGTAGCGGAAATTACAATAAAATCCAAGTTGCCCCCTTTCTTCTTAGCCATGACCACACCACAGGCCCACGGGAATTTTGATGGCTCAAGCAAGTCATATTCCAATAACATCCTATTTTCTTTCCTGCATGCTTCTGACTTATGTGGAGTCATTCTCATAGCTCCCTTCTAGTGTGGTACCGAACCCTCTTCTATCTCTATCTCATGTTCTGCAAAATTGCAACAACCTACGTCAGCTTTATGCTTTGGGAAAATGTCTGTGTCTGTGTTCCGTTCCGATTCAACACTGCTCTTAGAGAGTCCAGTCCCCATCCGATATCCTGCCTTTCAGGTGTTCTATCTCAGGTAGGACTGGTTTGTTTGCTGCTATTTCTGGGTCTGTCGGTCTCTCAGGGAAACTCGAACAACTAGACAGCCTATCGTCTGTCTCTGATTTCATTGGAAGAACTCCTTAAAAAGACTTGAATACATTTATTCTCTTCGTTATACATTCTTGGTTTGCATGTAAGGGACACTCACCTACTTCAAATTTCTTCAAGTTGTCCAAGCTCTGACACTCTGTGTTTAGAGGCAATGCTTATCCAAGCTTCTTTCCACGTTGTTTTGTCACCGATGTAGCCTCAACAACACACTCACCCATTGTCCGTTCTGAGTGAGTGAGAAGCTTCTTACTAAAATAGCTGAGCTCTTTTTGTTTGGGTTGGGGACCAGACACACTTGTCTCTTGTTACTAAGTTTAATTAATTTCCTCATCCTAAACGTCGCCACTACAGCTTAATTTGGTTTTAATCTAGCTTTCCGAACTAGGAAAAATGAAAAATTGCATCTTCGCTTGATAAATCAAGACCTTCTTAACGGTTTCTTTTGATGCTTCCCCTCTGGGTCATTGACTCGTAACTGCCAGTCGTTGAGGTCGATAGTAGCGACGAGTTTGCGCACGAGGTGGCGTCCTAGGATGAACAGGTCGGATTCTTCCAAGTTTTCGACAACCAAAAACTTCATCCAGAGATGCTTTCCTCCCAGTTTCAGCGAGATGATGGGAGTTCATCCGGCCACATAGATTGCGCCCTGATTAGCCGCAGCCAGTCTGGTATTAGTCGGTATCAAATCCGACCTATTGAAGCCCAAGTCGGTCCAAGTGCTTATGGGCATGACACTGACTACCGTTCCTGTGTCAAGTAGTCCTTTCACAGAGAGTTGTCGGCCCTGCACGTCCAGTACATGTGCTTCCAGATCGGCTTCACAGCCTATGTAGACTGCATCCTGTTCAAGCATGGCGTTGTGTCCGATTCCTCATACCTTCAGCTCCGCTTGACCGATGTAGATCCGGCCTAGTTGGTCACTTGCATTGGGCATGTGAGCTTTCGTATAGATGTTAATGCCATCCACATTCATCAGTATCGGGTATGAGATAGACTTCTATCTAATGTCCATCTACTCTCATCAATCTCGGCCCACTGGTTGTAAGTAACGCTCTCCCCAGCCCCATAATCCAACTTGGGATCTTTTTCCCTCAAGTAATCTGCATAGAAATCCAGGTGTACCAGGTTGATTTCCGACGGCTGACTCGAGTTCTTCACCTGAGGACCCGCGACCGATATGATTGACATTATCTTGCTTCCCTCTCTTGTCATACCAAGGGTCTTCCCTGAGATGACATTCATCTTCGAAAACGTTTCTTGGGTTCCTGGTTGTCTTCTTCTTTCACTGTCTTCTCTAGGGTATCCAGTTTCTCGCGCAACTCTTTATTTTCCAGCTCAGACCTCACTCATTGTTCAACTTCTTTCGTCGCGAACTCTTGTTGCGCCTTCTGTGATGCAGTTCCAGCCGCCGGGCCATAATCTACTTTGAGCGCACTAGCTGGTGCAGCCTCCGGGCTTGAGGCAATCGCTTCATCCGACAAGGTCTTCACATTCTTTTGAGTTTGACATCGTTTGAGCATAGATGTTGTCTTTATCATTCAACAGTCGCTCGATCTCCCGTGTCATTCTGCTATCTTTCTCTCTTCAGACTCCTTGGTAGCTAGAGCCAAGCTCTCCGCAAGGCACTGATCGGTGTTTAGAATCAATTCGGCCTGATGGCTTTTCGCTTGTGATTTCGCGTCTGCCAGCTCGTCTCTTATCCTAGCATTGCCCTGTTGAGCTCTCTCCTCCACTCGATTGATCCCTTCTGTCATCTCTTGCCGTAGTTCTTCAAGACCTGTCACAATATTGGCAAAGATGCCACTCACATCACAGGCTGTTCCTAACACTGTGGTCAGACCTAGAGACGACGACGTCAATTGAGGTTGCAGCCTTGTGCTCGATAAAGCTTCACCTTCAGCGTTCCCATCAACATCATAAGTTCATCGAATGTCGAGGACGCTCCTTTCGTTATCCCATCTGACATCTGTCTTGATCGCGAATTGGAAATCGCTTTCTTATTCTTCTTTTGTCTCGGGCTAGGAGTAAAATCCGTGTCCGAGTGCATTAGTCCTGGATGGTCGAAGCCAGAAATTAGTCCGTCACTTTGGAGCGTTATCATGCGTTCATCAAACAGTTTTTCCAAATTCTTTTTCCCTCTTGAACTTGATTGTTCTTCCTGGGATTTATGCTCGACAACAACGCGTTTTTTCTCTGCTTGGCCAAGGAGGATTGCTCTATTCTCCGACTACTGCTCTCGGTCTCCGATCTAGAAGTTCTCTTGAATAACAGCTCC